CTGCACAGCAATTTAGGGCCATCATACTCCTTTTGTCTTCATTTGCCTCTGCTTCAAGCCAAGACCAGCACAGAATAAATCAGACATGAACACAACCCCTCCTCTGTCCTCTCACGGGTGCACTTCTCAGTCACACAGAGCACTCTTATCTGCCTAAGCAGGCCTCAGCCTCCTTCTCAGCACAGGACAGTCCTCACCATTGATCTGAATTGACACAGACTGCTTGGTCCCTTTTCTGTTGTTGTGATAGAATACCTGACAGTAGTTAATTTATATAGGAAATAAGTTGATTTGGGCTCACAGTTCTGGAGCCTGAGAAGTCAAAGAGCAGGGTACCCACCATCGGCTTTGTTTCTGCGGAGAACCTTGTGCTTCCTCAAATTATGAAAGCAAACATAAAAAGGCCAGTGGGCCCATGTAGAAGAGGCGACATATCATGTGATGCTTCATATCAACCCACTCTTTCAGTATTTAAGCCAATCTGTGTTAATTGCTGTGACCAAAATACTTGGGAAAAAAAATTTAGAGGAGAAAAGATTTATTTGGGCTCCTGTTTTAAAGGTCTTGGTCCACTGTCAGCTAGTTCCAAGGCAGAAACATCATCAAGGTGGGAGGACACGGCAGAGGAAATCTTCTGAGCTCATGGCAGCCAAGAAGCAGAGAGAGAGAGAGAGAGAGAGAGAGAGAGAGAAGGAAAGAGACATATGCAGGAGGGGACCATGGAGAGTTCTAGGCCCCAAGGCCATGCCCACCATGACCTCCAGCCATGCTCACCATGACCTTCAGCCATGCCCACCATGACCTTCAGCCTCGACCACCTACCTATAGTTTTCACCACCTCCCAGTAAATCCATTAAGATTATTAATCCCCCAAGTGGATTAATCCACTGATGAGATTATAGCCTTCACAATCATTTTCTAAAAGCCCCCACCTCAGTGTTTAGGAGGACATTCCAGATCCAAACCATAACACAATCCTACAAGACTAAGAACTCACTCCCAAGAGAAAAATAATAATCTATTCATGAGGTCTCCATGACCATGACCTGAACACTTCCCAACATCACCACAATGGCCCTTACATATCAACATGAGTTTTGGAGAAGACCAACCATATTCAGACCATAACATACACTAAAAGAAAGCCATTTGGTCTCTGGAAGTTACAGTTTGCTATCTCATTGATCAGTGGTAGCCCCAGTTGAAGTCAGAATCTGTATTTTTTTTGGACATTTGAGAGCAAATAGTAATAAGCCCTTATATTTATTGACCACTTTATGGTTTTCAAATCACTTAATGTAGGTTTGAATGTCTCAATAACCCTGTAAAGTAGGAAAGGCATGTGTTGTTAGCTTCCTGATCTGCAAGGGGGATACTTGTTGACCAGGTAATGTAGTAATGTAGACTGGGATATTGTGATTAGAGAGCTTGCTTCCCAAATCACCTAATCCTAACACAGTGTTTTTTTCTGCAACATAACTAGCTCCAACATAGCTAGCATATATAAGGTAAGTAGTACTTGGTAACTTGGTCAGCTGTGGCGAATGAATTCTGAATTTGACTTCCCCATTTCCTTATTTGGTTACCTTGGAAAATTTCTTAACTTCTATAAGCATTAGTTCCACCAAGTATAAAATATATATGTTAAAATTTACCTTCTTCATAGAATAGTGAAAATGAGATAAGTTTAACACACTGCCTGGTGTACAGGAGGCACTCAGTAAATGGAATCTGTTATCATCACTACAGTTTTCTCCTGTGCCTTTGAGAACCATCCCCAAAAGGTGGCCTGTCTTATTGTATGGGCAAAGGATCTCAGTACCCTGAGTCACTACATGGATTTCATAAAAGATAAATGAATCACTTTGAAGAGAAGGACACAGGGTTTGCTCATAGATAAGGATGAAAGTAGCTTTCTAGACCAAAGTCATTTTTCAGGTTCCTGATGAGATGGATTGTTTGCCTGTTGCCTTGAGATCAAAGCTGAAATCCCAGCAGTAAAATACAACCCAGCATGCTCAGAGGTATGTATTGTGTACCATAAACTCCTTCAAGTAAAGCCATTAAGGTAGCTCTCATTGGGTTATTGTAATGACTCCTTTTTTCATCTCTGGGCCTCCTCTACATTATGCTGAGAAGGATGATGGCTTCCTCTGTACAAATTTGACATTTTACGGTTTGCTCTTTCATGGCTTCAATTGGTAACTGCAGTCTTATATTTAGCTGACCCATTTTTGTTGAAGAGAAAGTAGGAAGGAAGTGAGATCTGTATAATCTTTTAGGAGTAATTATTGGTTTTTTAAAAAACTATTATATCATAATGATTGTGCAACCGCATTCTTCGTTATTTCCATAGGATTAAGAAATCTGTTCGGAGGGAAATCTATCCTCCCACATGTCTGGAGTGTCTCTGCATGCTCTAACTGGGTATACAAGATCCTCACCACTCTTTACCTGATCCATTTTTACATGGTTGTGTTTGTAACAAGTAACCTTGAGGGATGACGTCATCCCAACCAATCAAAGAGCAGGCATGCTGGTCATGCACTAGACAAAACAATGAATCCCCCAAACACAGTGTTTCCCTTCTGTAATGCAATCTCTGCTTATGAAGGCATCCATTTGTATCAACCCCACGGAGACTCAGAAGCCACAGGGATTTGAACAAAACACAAAGCTTGAATAGCCTGCTGTGCTGATATAAAGCCTTTTTCTCCGATCCAGGAGTCTTGTATCTTCGGCCAACATCAAGCATCTTTGAAACAGTGACATGTTAGTTTATTAGCCTGCAAGTAGGATAAACTACCCGAACTTTTTCAGTCCTTAGCATTCATATATTGTGTCTGAAACAAAATGCAGCATTTTGTTGTATTGTATCTTATATACTCATTGTGGATGTTGTAGTCGGTTTTTCATAACGGTAGCCAAAAAAGACCTGACAAGAATAACATAGAGAAGGAAAAGTATATTTGGGGCTCACAGTTTCAGAGTCTCAGTTCATAGATGGTCGACTCCATTACTCCGGGCCTCAGGTAAGGCAGAACATGGTGGCAGAAGGGAAAGAACATAGTGACAAAAATGCAGAGAGAGCTCTGCTCACCAGTCTTCTTGAGACTTTTATGTCTGGATTTTTCTCTGGGTTCTGTGCTAATGTATACCTTTAACACACCCCCACTACTTAATATAACCAAAGTCTGCTATAAAATAAACACGTTTGACCACTACTCTGTTGAAAGATACTCATTCATCGAAACTATGTTATAAAAGTGTAGCCTGAAGAGCTCCATCCAGACAACAAATTGCCTTGATTGAATAGGAGTATTTTCCTAAGATTGCTCCCACCTCCCAACCATTGACTATTTTGGGTTCTATCCTGGGGCTCCATCAGCAGAGATACCCCCAACGAATCAGCTAACTCCCTAGTACTTCTCTTATTCTTTCATGAAAAAAAAAAACCCAATAACTCTAAAACACAAAACAATATGGTAGCAATCTAACATAAGAGAAACATTGTAGATCTTTGTGATGTTGTTTTATACCAGGGTTAGAGTGTAAACACATAAATGGTTCAGCTGAAATACCTTTCAAACAAATGTGCAATAATTGAAAGTTTCTTGATGTGTGTACAATTCTATGAGTTTTAACACATGTAGTGATGTGTGTAACAATACTACAGTTGTGATGCAAAATACACATTACCTTGAAAACTATCTACCCTCAACCCTAACCACTGGCAATCACTTTGAGAAAGAGAGAGATTTATATTCACATAACTTTTATTTTGTTCTATGTTATGTTTGTTCCTTGAGCAGAGCTCTCTCTCCCTAGTTGACATGACCTGATCTGCTTTCCTCCTCCACACCCTTCTGCCACAATGTTTTACCTCACCTTAGGTCTCAGAACTGTGGGGTCAACCCACCATGGACTGAACATCTGAAACTGTGAGCCAAGACAAATCTTTCCTCCTCTATATTGTTCTTGTCAGGTCTTTTGCTCACGACAATGAAAAAGCTGACTCAAATAGTATGATTGCCCTTTATCCTTTATTCTCTTTCAGATTTTAAATCTCATATTGGCTTCCTCTATTTCTATGTTATTTCCACCTTTTTGACCCCATAATATATATAAAAAAGGACAATGTTTATCCAGACAGTATCAGCATATGGTACATGATTTTTATTCGCAATAATATTAACTGACTTGTTTAAAAAAAATTACCATTTTTCTCCTTTCCAAGCTTCTGTCCTACATTTAGCATCCTATATGACAAACCACATCAGCACAACCCAGTCGAAACCACACGTCGCTCTCAGGCAAATTAATAACAGCTTAAAGTAATATAATAGCAGTGTTGAGCAAATAGTTAAGTTTAAAATAAATTTCAGTCATTCCAATTGAAAGAGTCAGCAAACCATCTTGTGGAATCAAACCCAGGAGTCCAGGAAGTATCCAAGTAAATGATTCTGAGATCATTTTCTCAGAAATGTGCACAACTCTTCCAAGTCAATCACAGTCCGTCTCAGTCCATCATGCAGGTAGCAGCGTTTGATATGAAATCCCCTTCCAATTACCAAAAGGCACAGTCAAGGTGGATGTCAACAACAGTTTGCATGATTTTGTAACCACCTCAGGTTGAGATTTCCATTATTTTCCTGCCCAATCTTCATTCAGTGAGCCATTTCTGAAGGCTGGGGTGTGCTCTTATCTCAAAGTGTGCAAAACAGTGAATTTCTCTGGGCAGCACATTTGCTCTTCCAAATGTGTTGTTAGAAGGCTTGACTGATGGTGGAACTCAATCAACCTTTAATGGACTGCTATGTAATTACAAAACAAAACAAAAACAGTTATAAACATTAAACATACCCACATATTGACAAGGAATGAACAAAATTACTCTTCCCAACCAAGGCTATCTCCTTAGCATTTTTATTAGGATGAAACATTCTGGTTTAGCGTAGGTTTGCTGATTGCAAAGGATCCTGCTCCTATGGAGTAAGTCTGCATTGTAGATATCTCCTTTCCCTAGAAATAATGCTATTTATTTTTTTTATTATTGTGAATAGGCAGCATAGTGTAGTGATATTCTATTCAAAAGCAACTGTTAAAGAGCAATGAATAAGCATTATCTCCTGTAACCAAACTTCTGTGTTTAAACCTAGTTTAAACCCTGGTTCTACCACCAGCTAGCCATGCAAACTTGGTGGAATTATTTAATCTCTTTGGGCCTCAGTTTCCTTTACTCTAAAATAGGGACAGAGCTATTCAACTCATAGGTGAATTGTGTGGACTGAGTTCCTGCATGTGAATCACTCAGATCAGTAGCAGGCACACAGAAAACATCTGCTAATGTCAGCTACATTCTTTCCTGATTTTTCCATTTTCCGTTCAGGCATATCCAGGTCTCGGGAGATGACAAAGAACTATCTTCCATTTAAAGGAATTATCTCATTCGCTCTTCCCTTTATCCTATGAGTAGGGAAACCCCTCTAACCAGGGTCCAGTAGAAGAATCCCTGATGCAGAGAGAGATCACCACAGATGAGATGCAGGTACTGGATTTGGTGATGGTGACCCGATTTTAGAGGTGGACACCCAAGGAGGCTTCAGCATTTTGCCATGGCTGGTTTCTGGTCCCTGCTCACTGCAGAAACATCCTTTATGTCACGTTGGCCAGATATCAAGGTGCCACCAACTCCATTTAACTTGACCTCTTATACACTCTATTTTTTAATTAACCTTGGATCCGCAAAGCAATATCTGTTCTCCAAATACAGTCATATTTTATGCAAGCAGTGACAAGCTAATTAAGTTAATTATTATAACACCTATCTATATAATGAAACGAAGGTTGGATGATTCCAGCTGCTTCTCCTTAAAGTGCATCCCAGTGATGATTAAAAAATAATTAATATTTCACCGAAGACAGGAACAAGAAGTTAATTAAAAGACGATGCTGCAGTCTTAATGAAACATATCCAATTGTGTTCACCACAATGCTCCACAGCCAAATCCCTTCTTAGAATATAGATGAACACCAATGAACATCAGGCCTTTCTTGAGAGCATTCAGAAAACATTAACAGCTCCCATTAACCTCATGCCGTAAACATTCTAGAAGTCTCTTTTTGCCTTTTAACAAGATAAAGGGAACTTATTTATCTGTGCAAAGTCAGCTGACTGAAATAAATTTCAAATTTGGACTAGCAATAATACTTTGGGGAGGGGGCCATGTCATCAAAACCATCACTTCTCTATAGACTATGAAGACTTTAAATAGATTCCAACTCTATTGGAAAGTTTTAACTATTCCCAGTTTCAGGCTAAGTGTCCTGTTTTGTCTCAGACTATGTGGGCTGCTGTAACAAAATGCCAGAGATTGAATGGCTTATAAACGACAAATATTGATTTATCACAATTCTGTCAGAAAGTTGAAGATCAAAGTCGCTGGCAGATTCAGTGTCTGATGAAGGCTAGCTCCCAGGTTCACAGCATCTTCTTGTATGTCCTCTTATGGTGGAAGAAGTAAAAGAGCTCTCTAGGGTCTTTTCTTGAAAGGACACTATCCCATTTGTGGGGGATCTTGCCCTATGACCTAAGCACACCCAGAGAATATCACCTCCTAGTACTATCACATTGGGCATTAAGTTTTTACATAAGAATTTGCAGAAAGACACACAAACTCAGTCCACGGTGTAATTTCATAAAGGAAAGGTAAAATAAGAAAATGGATAATTTTAGTTTGATTCAGCGGGTTGAATTTGTATCAGTTGGAATTCCAGGCACTGGTCTCCTCTTAGAGAAAAAAAAAATGCTCTCCTTACCTGGTTAGGATCCTGAGGGCATGTCTACAGTCTACAGGATGGCTTGTTGGCTAGATCCCCAGGACCACAAAAACAGGTAAGATTAATGTCTAATTCGGTGGAGAATACCAGGGCTCCATCTGCACCTGTCAAATAAATAACTTTGCTGCTTAGAAAGATGAAAACAGGGTCATTTGCAAAGGGAGGAATTGGGAATTAGGAAAGTTCTATTTTAGCCCAAACTAAAACTAACAATCATCTCCCTTCAAATTAGAAGACCTGGATCCTTCTTCCCACCGCTCAGTAATTCTGTGTCCTGGGGAGGGATTCTTTGCCTCTGATTCCCTCTCTCTTTGTTCATAAAATGAGGTGGCTGGATGCAAATCCCAACCCTAGATCCTTTTAATTCTGTCATTCTGCAAATCTAAGGTATTTCCTCAGAGAGCTTTTAAAAGAATGAAATGAGATTAGGCTTTCAAACTAAATACCAGCTATTCTGACACCTTATGGACTGCTCAAGAGTTGATATATAGTATATATACTGACCAAGTTTCCAATTGTTCCTACAAGGAACTCCCCTCCCAGGAGATGGCTACACAATCTGAAAAAATCACAGTGGGTAAACCAGATGGAGCATAGTCCTTCAGCAGAGGAAAAGGGACAGAAGCAATTTTTGGTTTTGGTTTTGTTTTCTGTGGTGGGATGCTCCCTAACAAAGATGGAAGGGACTCTATTAAGAGCCACAGCCACATGAAAAGCAATTTAATGTGGTCAATCCAGATGGGCTTGTGCTACGGTAACAAATCCTGCGGTGCTCGTCATTAACACCTCATTTGAAACAAGCTCTAGAGGTCTTCCTCTCAGGAAGCAATTACACACACATGCACCCTGCCTCGAAATTTTATCCTGGCTTTGGGTTGCTGGGGGCACAAGCAAAAACCTGGTGGAAAGGGGGTCTCTTTCTCATTTATTTGGAATGGGGGATTTGTGGGCTTAGTGTCACGTGAAAGGTGAAGACATTTTGGAAAGGGCTTTGGTGGTTGCAAAGGGATTGGTGAGAGGGAGGGGAGAAGGCTGTTTGGTAGGGGAACCCAGACATCTAAGTGGCATGTGACAGATCCAACCTGGAAAATGCCATTGGTCCTCAGGGTGAGGATGTGAAACAACATCACATTCCTTAAGGGGTCCCTGCCTTCTGGTCTTTGAGTGACACAGAGCCCTTTCTTTTTCTTTGACAAAAGGACCACAAAGTCTCAGAGCAATAGGCAGAGCGTCTGCATTAAGTACTGAAAAAAAAATCACATACGTATGTCCCAGGGAAAGAAGTTCAGGCAGAAAAGAATATCAAGCTGGAAATCAAAACTGGTGGGTATCCCCCAGGGGTCACAGCAAAATACACAGAACTTTCCAGAGAGGCTTGTTCCTATATAAAGCACTCTCACAGTCACAGGCTCATTGGAGCTGCACACAAACAAAACAGCCATGATTGTCACCCCGATTTACAAGGAGAAAATCTGAGGCCCAGGGAGAACAAGTGGCTTATGTCTACTATAATATTGATTCCAAGAAACACAGTCATGACCTAGACCGACGGAGCTGAATTTAAGCATTTCTACGGAAGTGGGTACTGGTAGGCACATCTCTCTCCTGTTCCTACTTACCACCCTGCTTGACTCCCCAGAAGTCTGCAACTCCTACTGCAGGAATTCAAGGCATTCAGTACTATGGATGTCAACAGAACTAGTAAAATCTGTGCGCAGGAGATCAAGATAGCTGATCTATCATCAATGAAACAGGGATCTTAAGAATTCTTTTTGCTTCCTGCTGTGATTCGGATGAGGGTCCTCTAATGGTGCATGTGTTAAAGTCTTGTTCATCAGAGTGGCATTAATAGAAGGCACTGTGGACCTTTAGGATATGGGGTCTTATGAGAGGTTTTATGGTTTAGGTGTGGTGTCCCCCACAAGCTCACATGTGAGAAAATGCAAGAAGGTTTGGGGGAGAAATTATTGGGTTATAGTCTTAACCCAATCAGTGAATGAATCCCCTGATAGGAATTAACTCAGTGGTAACTGGAGTGATAAGGTGTGGCTGGAGGAGATGTAAACTGGGGGCATGGCTTTCGGGTATATATTTGTATCTGGCAAGTGGAGATCTCTCTCTCTGCTCTCTGATCATCCTGTGAGCTGGTTCCCTCTGCCATACTCTTCCGCCATGATGTCCTGTCTTACCTCGTGCCCCCAGGAATGGAGCCTGATGTCCGTGGATTGAGACCTCTGAAACTGTGAGCCCCTAAATAAACTTTTCCTCCTCTGTAATTGTTCTGATTGGGTCCTTTAGTCACAGCAGAAAAAATAAATAAATAAATAAACTGACTAAAAAAGAAACTAGTACATTGAAGTGGGGTCATTGCTATGACTAACCTGACCATGTGGTTCAGAAGTTTTTTGAGCTTGAAATTGGTGGGAGGAATGTTGAGATGCTCAGCAGTACAAACTGGAATTTTTTTTAGGTAAGCAGAGTTTAATGGCCGATTCTGGTGGGAGCTCAGAAGACCCAGAAGGCCAATGGAACAGCGAAGACAGGGCTAAAGAGGGTTTAAAGGAAAAGGAGTACACCATTGGTAATTGGACTAGAAGACATTCCTGTTATGTTCTAGCTGAAAAGTTGTCTGCATTTTGCCTGTGTCCAGAGATTTTCTGTGAGGCTGATTTTTAAAAGCAATGGGCTTCTTAATCTGGCAGAAGAGATGTCTAGGCAGCACAGCATTCAGGTGGTAGCATGGATATTGTTGGCAGCTTTTAGCTAAATTCATTGTGATAAACAGAAGCAGAAAGCAGGGCAGAAAGATTTGAAAAACCTGGACTTGCAACACAGGAGTAAAACTGAGGCTAAAGAAATTGCAGTTGTTAAAGACACTACCACCACTAAATGCTAAAGACTAATGCTAAAGACTTTGCCCAGAGACAATAGAAAGATGACTTGTGGGCATCTTAGGAGCTGGCAAGACCACAGCTGTCTAAACCTCAAGGAAGTAAAGGTGAAAATTGTCTTAAGAAGAGACCAGCGGGACACCCTTCTTGCACAAGGGGACCTAAGAAGTATTTTCAAATGCTCAGCCACCCAGATGCTCAGAGGCTGCTATAGCAAGGGTCCCTGGAGGCTTGGCTACTGCTCAAGATGGCAGCAGACCTTGGCATCAGCCACGAGGTGCTGGTTCTAAAGGAATGCAAGATGCTGGAGTTGGGGGTTCATGAAGACTTCCACCAAGATTTCAGTGGGAGGCCAGACAAAGGTGCAGCCGGGTCGGAGGCCCTGCAGGCACCCCCTGAGAAGTCAAAATGTGGAAATGTGAGAAAGAAGTCAAAGCTACAGTGGAAAGCCCGAGAATAAGAAATGCCGGTTACATGGGACATTGTCCTAGGGAAGCTGCAGGACTCTAGCAGAGACAAGCCAACAGAAAGGCCACTGGGCTGTAACCAACAAGGCCACAAGGGGCAACACCACACAAGCCCTTCAGAGAGAACATCAAGATGTCACGTGCCCCAGAGGCCAGACCTGGAGCTAATTTGCTACTAATTTGCAACAGGACTAATAAACTGGATTTCAGTCTTGCTTTGGTCCTATCCCTTCTCTCTATGCCCCTAATTTTGTGAATGGAAATGTTAACTCTGTACCGTTATATATTGGATACTTGTAAATTGCTTTTAATTTTATGGGAGCTCACAATGTGAAATTGCCTGGAGCCTCGGAGAAAGAAGACTTTGGACTCGAACTTTGAGCGAGTTTTGAGACCATGGGGAATCTTGCGAATGACTAAATGTATTTTTGCATTGTCAGATGAATATGAGCTTTTGGGAGCCAAGGACAAATTATATAGTTTAGATGTGATATCCCCTAAAAGCTCACATGTGAGAAAATGTAAGAAGGTTTGGAGGAGAAATAATTGGGTTATAGTCTTGACCCAACCGGTGAATTAATCCCCTGGTGGGTATTAATTGGATGATAACTGAAGTGATAAGGTGTGGCTGGAGGAGGTGTGGATTGGGGGTGTGGCTTTCAGATAACCTATTTATATTTGGCAAGTGAAGCCCTCTCTCTCTCTGCTTCCTGATCATGTGAGCCTGCTCCCTCTGCCATACTCTTCAGCCATGATGTCCTGCCTTACCTTGAGCCCCCAGAAATGGAGCCTTTTGTCTATGGATTGAGACCTCTGAAACCAGGAGCCCCCAAATAAACCTTCCTCCTTTACAATTGTTCTGATTGGGTCCTTTAGTCACAGCATCAAAAATGCTTACTAAAACAGGAGGTCCTTTAGGTCCTTGGGGATGTGCCTTAAAGGGAACATAGGTCTCCTTATCTTTCTTTCAATCCCGTAAGCAGTTTACTATGCCTGTGCCCTTGCAATGAATGTGCCACCTTTGTTAGTGGCCCAAAGAAATGCCGTCACCCAGTCTTCGATTGGATTCTCTAGAACCATGAGCCAAAATATATCATTCTCTTTATAATTTATTGCCTCTGGTATTTCATTAGAGTAACACAAAAGCTGACTGATACCCTTCTCTAAGAAAATGATTTTTTTCTGAAAGATATCAAAGCCCTGTCTATTCCCTGCTCTGTATTTCCATTCTCCTTCTTTTACAGTTTTGACTTACTGTCTGCATGGTGCATGAAAGATACTTATAATCCATTCAATACACATTTACTGGGCAGGTTAGCTTGCAGTAAGAGATTGGGCTCTAAATTCAGATTCTCTTAGTTCACATTCCAGGTTCATCATGCAATATATTGGATTATGAACACGTTGCTTTACTCATGTGGAAACTCAATGTTATAAACAGTGGGGAGTAAACTGCACTGGATTATTCCAGGGATCAAAAGAGAAAACACAATTTTTTTTTTTTTTTTTTTGCCCATCATCTGGCATACAGTAAGAACTAAATACATGTTGGCTGTTACTGTCACTATATTTCGACAGCAACATCTAGTACAGTGTCTGGCTTAGATATGAGTAAGATACAAATCCTGCTTTCAGGGAACTTCCAGTCTTGTGGCTGAAATAATATATCAACAGCAAACTTGGTATAAAAGAATTGTTCTTATATTTAAGCATGCACTAGAATTCACACCTAGAGGGCACGTTAGA